GATCTCAAGACACAAACGACGTCTGGTGATCATCCCCCCCTCAGTAGAGAGCAACCTCCGATTCTGTGGGTCCCCAGAGAATCTGCGGAGGGGAGCTCCACTGGGGCAAGTGACCTCCTATATCACAGTCTTTACAGACGCTTCAGTGACGGGATGGGGGGGACGTGCCTAGAGAGAGCTGTAGGTGGTTGCTGGCCTCTGACAGAGGCTCGGCACAGCAACCTCCTGGAGCTGCAAGCAGTGATGCTGGTCCTACAGCACTTCAAACCCTTAATACAGGGCAAACATGTGCTAGTGAGGAGCGACAACCGCACCACAGTGGCGTACATCAACAGGCAAGGCGGAGTCCGCTCAAGGTTCTCTGCCGCGGTCAACAAGCAGAGAACCTGTGGTTGTGGGTTTCACAGATTGTGTTGTCTCTAAGGGCCCTGCACATCCCGGGACGGGAGAACGGGGGGGGCCGACCTCATGTCAAGAGGCGGACCCCTGCCAGACGAGTGGAGGCTTCACCCGGAGGTGGTGAAGCAGTTCTGGACTCAGTTCGGGAGAGCAGAGGTGGACCTGTTCGCCAATCAGCGCAACAGCCACTGTGCCCTGTGGTTCTCCCTGGCCCAGTGGGACAATCCGCCCTTGGGGGCGGACGCATTTGCACACGAGCCATGGCCAAGGAAGCTGCTTTACGCCTTTACACCGCTGCACCTTATCCCCCCCCTTCTGGATAGGGTGAGGCGGGAGCAGCTGTCAGTCATCCTAGTGGCCCGAGATTGCCGCCTGGCGCCGTGGTACGCGGGATAACACAGATGATGGTGGGCCAGCCCTGGGCTATTCCTCAGGTCTGGGGAGCGCTGTCTCAGGAAGCAGGGGCAATAGGGGCGTTACCCACTCTGGGCCAACCTCTCCAGGCTTGGGACAGGCCTGAGACAGGCAGCAGGAGCAGAATCCACCACAGCCTGTTGCAGGCCAAAGTGGGCGGGATTCCGGCGATGGTATGAAGGAAGGAGTATAGAGCCTCTGTCATGCATGCTGGGCTCTATTCTTACCTACTTACAGATACTGGTGGACAGGGGGCTGGCTCATTCCACAATTAAGGTGTATGCAGCAGCCATTTCGTCTTGCCATGAGGGATTTGGAGGCAGGTCAGCCTTCAGTCAGCCGCTTATGTCGCGGTTTTTGCAGGGGGTCAGGAGGCAGCGCCCAGTAGTGCACGCCTCCGCCCCACAGTGGGACCTGCCGTTGGTGCTCGAGGCTCTGGTCACAGAACCATTTGAGCCCCTGGAGCTCTCCTCCCTGAAAGCACTGTCATGGAAGACAGCATTGCTACTTGCCTTGACTTCGGCCAAAAGAGTGTCCGAGCTGACCGCTCTGTCGGTGCACCCAAGCTGCCTTTTGATCCGGGGTGACCGTAGCGGGGCGACACTCAGACCGAACCCCTCCTTTACTCCTAAGAACCTAAGGAGTTCGTTCAGGTCAAGGGCTATTCAGTTAGGTGGCTTTAATCTTCCACCCCATATTGAGGCCAGGGAGGCTAAATTGCACCTCCTCTGCCCAGTAGGGCTGTACCCGAATATTCGACTATTCGAATATTCGTTCGTTGGTCAACTATTCGGGTTTCAATTTCATTATTCGAATATTCGTTTTTTTATTTTTTTTCAAAACATTTTTTTTTTTTTTTCTAAATCTATGCTATCAATAAAGGCGAATTGCCATATTCTTATACTATATTTATACTTTTGAATTGCACTGTTAAAATGCGGAAATATATACAATCTCAGCGTGTGCTCCTGACATCACGTTCACTCAGTTATGAACGCAAACGGCACGCTTCACCTCGCTTCACCTCGCTTCACCTCGTTTCACACACCTGAACACAAAATGCCGAAGACTTCAGCTGTGTGGGACCATTTTAAATTGGACGACGGTAAGAAGAAGGCGGTGTGCCAAATATGCGACAAGAAACTGGCTGGTGGCACAACAACTCTGAAAAGTCACCGGATGCTGTAAGTACTAGCTTAGCTTAGCTGTTGTCAAATTGCCGTGATGAAGCTGCTTTATCCGCCGTTTAAACAGTAACGTTACACATGATAAAATCGTGCTCTTACTTTGCTTGGAAAATAGTTGCAAGCAAGCAACCGAATTGTTTTTTATATTAGTTTTTCAATTTGATCCGAATAGTGAAAATAATAGGAGCAATGTGGGAACATCTGGGGCTAAGGCAATTATTGGCATACAGTTCGTTCATTTATTTTTCGTTCTTCAGTTATTTAAATACTGTTTACTGTATCGGTAACAAGTGTTACCCTGTTAGGCCTACTGTTACGGCTATGTTATTCAAAGTATTGTTGTTATAACAGAAATATGTGTTTTGTATCTTCAGGTTGTAAAACGTTATAGACGGAATTTGGAACCAGATTTGGTCCCCGGGCGCTGCACTGCGGCTGGATTAAATGCAGAGGACACATTTCGTTTTAATGTAGGCTATGCGAGTACTGAGACAATAAATACATATAAATCGTAATAGTATGCTCTTTCTGCGCTTCTGCTTAACATCGTGTTGTCAGGTGTCTCGGAGCGTGTTATGAAACATTTTTGAAAACACATTTTTATTAAAAAAATAAATAAATCTCTCCGCACCGAATATTCGAATATTCGCTGCGGATTACTACCGAATATCCGGAGCCCGAAAAATGGTATTCGGGACAGCCCTACTGCCCAGTGCGTGCGCTAGCATGTTATGTAGAGCGCACGGCTGCCATTAGACGCACTGAACAGCTGTTTTGTGTGCTTTGGGGATGGTGTGGCTAGAAAAGCTCTCTCCAAGAAGCACCTAACAGGATGGCTATGCGGGTGCATTACACATGCCTATGGACGGGCGGGGAGAGCCCTCCCCACTGGGGTCCGTGCGCATTCTACACGGGCTGTGTCAAACAGCTTTATTCAGCAGCGTGAGTGTAGAAGATTATGCACGTCGGCGTCTTGGTCTACGCCAGGCTCCTTCATAAAATGTTATCTCCTGGACATGTCTGGCTCCTTCTCGTCGTCTGTGCTTGCCGAGGCAACGCATGACTGATGAGAGGGGGGGTGGCTGTGGGTCAGCAGGTGTCTGACCCCCCCCCCCCCCCCTGGACATAAAGCACTTGTGTTTTCCCATGCTCTCGAGGGACTCAGGAGACACGGTGCGCAATCAGCCCCATACAGTGCTGGAGGCAGGCTGGGAGAGCCTTCCTCACTATTGTCCATGCCCACTCTTCACGGAGCGTGTGGGGGACGTGGTGCACTTATGTTTTCCCATGCTCCTGAGGGACCTGGGGAACATGGTGCGCGGTAGGCTGCAGACAGAGTCTCCGCACAGATCTTTTCCATGCACACTCTACACGACTGCAAGGAATCTGGGTGTGACCCTAGATAACAACCTGTCCTTCACTGCAAACATCGCTGCTACAACCCGTTGCTGCAGATACACGCTTTACAACATCAGGAAGATACGTCCCCAGCTGACACAGAAAGCGACTCAGGTTCTGGTCCAGGCTCTCGTCATCTCACGCCTAGACTACTGCAACTCCCTCCTGGCTGGTCTACCTGCATGTGCCATCCGACCTCTACAGCTCATCCAGAATGCAGCGGCTCGTCTGGTCTTCAACCTTCCTAAATGTTCCCACACCACTCCGCTCCTCCGCTCCCTTCACTGGCTTCCGGTAACTGCTAGAATCCACTTCAAGACACTGGTACTTGCTTACCATGCTGCGAATGGATCTGGCCCTTCGTACATCCAGGACATGGTTAAACCGTACACCCCAGCGCGTGCACTACGCTCTGCATCAGCCAAACGACTCGCTGCACCCTCGCTGCGAGGGGGAACCAAGTTCCCATCGGCGAAAACACGTGGGTTTGCTGTCCTGGCTCCAGGATGGTGGAATGAGCTCCCCATTGACATCAGGACGGCAGATAGCTTGCACATCTTCCGGCGCAAACTGAAAACTCATCTCTTTCGACTCCACTTCGAGCGATAGAACTATTAACGAAGCACTTTTATACTAATAAAGGACTGGCTTATCTAAAGCCAGTTGAGTAGCACTTGAAATGTTTGGCTCTATGAAACCTGATGTACTTATATGATTCTGTTTTCTTCAAGTTTGTATTTTGTTGGTCGAACGCACTTATTGTAAGTCGCTTTGGATAAAAGCGTCAGCTAAATGCAATGTAATGTAATGTAATGTAACGAGGTAAGCGTGTGTGAGTGTGCCTTATCCAGAGTGCGGCCCCAACTTCTCTACGGTTACAACCGGATGGGAGGAAGTGGGGATGCAATGGATGTTAGCCAAAAGCCGGTCAGGGACGGTGTGGTGGGTCGATGTTGTTGGATGACAGGGCGTGTATCCATCGGGGCTCCGCCCACTGTACCCATAGAGTCCTGTAGAGGGCGGAGCCTGTGTGAAATATAACAGGGGGTTACGTATTGTAACCCTAGTTATATAAGCACAGGCGGAGCCCTCTACCTGGGGGCCCTGTCTTTCCTAGTCCGCTCGCAGAAGAGTGTATAGGATAGTGGGCGGCGGGTGTAGCCGCCTTTATATACTGTGGGCCTGCGCGCGCATTCAGGTAGGCTCGCCCCGATTGGCCGGCTACGTTTACGTAAACTCAGTAGGTGAAAGCACGCACAGCATGATAGAGAGTAGTACCCATAGAGTCCAGTAGAGGGCGGAGCCTGTGTTTATATAACTAGGGTTACAATACGTAACCCCCTGTTCTTTCACTACACCTGCAGACTGTGTGACATCCTCAGTGCTCATAGAGATGAACTATTTTTCTCTTCTTCATTTGAATGCTCTTTTCTGGTGTCAGTGGTATATTGGCAGCCAAACAAGTTAAAGCCATAGTTTATTTTGTTAAGAAAAGTTCAGTTTTTGACAACAAAGAATTACTGTGTAGTGGGTGTTACTGCGGTTTTGCTCATCATGCATATTAATAATCTAAACAGGAAGGAAATCTAGTCTCTTAACAGCCTGATATCCGTATTCTGCTCATTGCTTCAAAGGAAAGTTATCTTTAAACACATCGTTCCTCTTTCACTGTGAGTAGAAACAGTTTATTGATGTAATGATTCTGTAAACCTCCTGTGAACATTATTTAATCTGACATGTTTTATAGTCTCACAGAGATGAGAGGAGCAGCTATGAGTTTAACTGCAGCAGCGAGTGGATTAGTTGTCTTCCTGCTCTCTGTGTCAGGTACTGTACATCTACACTTACATTCATCACATGAACAGAGGGGATTCTGGGAAATGTGGGAATAAGTGGGATGGATTTGTGTAAAAGGCAAACCTAGCAGAAACATTTTAAATGTATTTGTGTGTAGAATTGTAGAAACTTGAGACGTTACTAGTTTTTTTGATGGATTTTCTGAATATCTTGTCGTGCGTTGCTGCTGTCCTTTGCTCCAATCATCTGCATACAATATCAGTTTGCTTATCACTTTTACAAGCGTTAAAATATAGTGTCTGCATAACTGTTCCATCCTCTCTGTGAAAACATTTTGCTTTGTTTTTTCTTAAGATGACTTCAATAATCTCCAGCTCTGTTTTTATTAAGTTTAAGTGATTTAGAGAGATATTCTTATTCTAAGTCATAACATATTGACTCAACTCTTATGTCGCCATACCTCTGCACCAAACCCTTCCAGTTCCTTCTCTCCTCTCTGACCTCAGTGTTATATTCACGCTCTGAGTTAAAAGCAGTCTTCTTCTTTTTCTTATCTGTATATCAGACAGAAGCTGCTCACGCCTCAGTGCTCTGCATGTATTGTTATTGTTCACACTGACCTCAGCAGCAACCTGACCACAGAGCGAACAGAGAGGAAACTGTTCAGAGAGTCTCACACTATTCTAATTAATGTGATCGCTAATCATTCACTGTTCATTTCTATGAAGGCATTTTCCAATCTTGTGTCAAACTGAACCCTTTTTGCGTAGACTTCTGTTCTACCTGCTTTGATTAAGAAACAACAAAGTCAAAGAGTATCATTGGTTTTAAAATGCCTAAGAAGGAATTCACATGTGTTTTTCTGCTCTATCCCAGTGAAGTTTGTAAAATGTTTATTTTTACATTCTTTGTTGAAAGTACTGATCAGGCAATTTCTCAACAATGTATAGATTAACTTTGATGATAGTTTCTGATGTGCTCTGTGTTTCAGTGGTTCAGGGTCAGGATGGCTGGAGAGTGAGTTGCTCTTCTACTGAGATCTGTGCAGTGAAAGGATCAACAGTGGAGATAAGATGCAGCTACACATACCCATCTAGCTGGAATAATCGTGTTAACACATTAGAGAAAACATTGTGGTTAACTAAACAGAAAGGTGGTAAACATGTAGATCTGAACACAGTCTCAGAGTATGCAGGTCGTGTAGAGGATCTCTGTGGAAACAACATCTGCACTCTGAGAATCAGAAACCTGAGAGAGAGCGACTCAGCTGAGTACAGGTTCATGTTCAAAACAAACCAAGCTACATACTGGGCTAATCCAGTCACTTTGTCCGTCACAGGTATCTGAAATATTACTCTTAAAACATTTAACATGTTATTTTAATTTTGATACATGAACATTATTGATCTTTATTTTTATGTTTGTACCTTTATTCAGATCTCCAGGTGCAGGTGAGCAGATCAGGATCGTCTACTCTCCTTCGGTGTCTCAGCAGTTGTTCACCTGGTCAAACTTCCTACATCTGGTTTAAGAACAGAGAGGAAGTGAAGGAAGACACATCTTCTTATGCATACTTCAGATATGAGTCAGCAGACAGTTATTCCTGTGCTTTGAAGGGATATGAGGACTTCCCCTCTCCTTCAGTGTGTGAGTTCACTCAAAGTCTTCCACTAACATAATAACATTAACATGCAGTATAACATATATCATCATTGCACTCATGTATCTATTTACCCACCAGAGGTCGCCAGCAGACATGGCAGAGTCCAAAGACACTGAACCAGGGCTCTAGGTTTTCTGTTTGATTTTAAAATAGGATAAATATACTCTTGCTACGAAGGATGCTACTAGAAAGAAGAATACACAAGAATTATGAAGGAAACTTCTTCCATGACATAAAGATTAACTCTTTCCCTCAAATGTTTAGATTTCTGATAAAGGATGGAATCAAGTGAACCACCACTCTGTGTTTTATTATACTATTATTCATTAAAATATCTTCCACCGTGGAATTAAATGTGAAATGTGTTCATGTTATCTCCTCCAGATGCTTGATGCTTGTGTTTGTGAAAAATGTTTTCTGCTTTGTATCTCTGGACATTTGCAAGTTGCCATTATATCTACCCTTTAATGTTAATAACTTTAAACACTTCTCCTCCAGATGCTCCAAAGCTCCCCTCTGTGTCAGTGAGTCCCTTTGGTGAGATAGAGCAGGGCAGTTCAGTGACTCTGACCTGTAGCAGTGATGCTAACCCAGCAGCTAACTACACCTGGTACAAGAGGAATGGAAGTGCAAACCTTTCTTCTGTCAAAGTAGGACCACGTCTCGTCCTCAGCTCCATCCAGTCCTCTGACTCTGGACAGTATTACTGCAGAACTGAGAATCTGCTTGGGAGGAGAAGATCTGAATCCATCTCTATTGATGTGAAATGTGAGTAAAACCCAGATGATTTAAAAAGCATCATGCAACCAATGACTACTTTGTTCACAGTCTGCTGCTGTAGGTCAATGAGATGGAGAGCAGCTAAAGTAGATGATGAACATGAAGTTTTATCTACTATTGGCTCTCAAATCTGCACGTATGTTCAGGGTATTCAAGCCAGCAGTCATACAGAAAACGATATACTGTATATACAGAACATAATTGTTTTCTTCAGCTCTGTACCTGTGAACAAAACACTTCCATATTTCAGATGCACCCACACAAATAACTACGTCTCATTTCAATACTCAATTCAACATGATGTATTTGTAACCTTTTGTTGATTTATTGTATTTCCTCCAGATGCTCCAAAGCTCCCCTCTGTGTCAGTGAGTCCCTCTGCTGAGATAGAGGAGGGCAGTTCAGTGACTCTGACCTGTAGCAGTGATGCTAACCCAGCAGCTAACTACACCTGGTACAAGAGGAATGAAGACTCTCCAAAAGCTTCAGGACAGATCTTCAACATCACTGACTTCAGAGCTGAACACAGTGGGAGTTATTCCTGTGGAGCTCAGAACAAGTTAGGGCGTAGTAACTCCACCTTTCATCTGATTGTTGTGGCATGTAAGTTCTCTACATTCACCAGACCTGATTCACTTGTCAGTGTTCAGGGAGGAACCTCCATGGTGTCAGAGGTGGATCACACTGACAATGTGATTTATCAATCTATAGTTAGAAGTATCACATATGTGTTCATGTTTCTAGGGAGTTCAACAATGATAGTGAATATCATCAGGACGACTCTGGGGGTCTTGATTCTGATTCTTGCGCTTCTCCTGAGTCTTTGGATGAGGTACAACAATATACATTCATCAGTTTAAACATCCTTCTAACATCTTTTAGTTTACTGCTATGAAATAAAATCTGTCTTTGTTGTTGTCCTTAATCCAGGAAGAAGAAAGCTCTGCGCTCCACCACTGAAGCACCTGAAGAGATAGAGGTGAGAGAGAGCGGACCTATTGACAACATTTCCCCTTCCTCAAAGCTATACTGTGGCTCATACATGCAATGTGAAGAGAACTTGTGATTAAAGACAACTTCCGGAGTTGAAACCAGTTATGAATTTAGCCAAGAAATAATTGGCATCAACTTTAATATAATGAAAAAAAAATAATAAAATCTATAGGCAGGTTTCATGAACGAGGGTCTAATTGTGTCTTCTCTCACTTCATCAGTTGGACTCTGATCCTGAGTATGAGAACAACTCACACACTGCAGCACAGACAGAAGACACAGAGGAGCAGGAAGACATGGTGTGAAGTCCAGTCAGGTTAGAGCCTCCTGCATCAGATCAAACAGGCCCACTCCACATGTAGAGTCACAGTTCCAGCTGTAACTTTACACAAAGTCTCTGTGATTTTCTTCAGACGCTCACCTGATGGAAACAAAGAAGAAGGACGTTGAAATGTCCCTGTGGAGAGCGAGGCTGTGCAGGATGTGTGCAAAGTGGATATATTCACGTTCAACTCTTAAAGCTTTTATTGTCAGTTTTCAGTAGCAGCAGCTTGAAGGTTCAACTATGTGTACATGTTTATTTGTTATATGCAGAGTTGTTGATATTAAAAAAGTCTACTCAAATTGTTTTTTTAAATTCCACATAATAAATAACTTTGAAAAATCCTCATCAGTGTCTTGGTTAAGTGCTTATAGAAAATGTATCTGACATAGAAGGACCTCTTGCTGCTCTTTTTACATCCTTCTATAAAAAGTTAATTTCTATCACAATCTCTTTGATTCTCCTCTTAAACATGAGAACATTTCAAGTACATCCAGAGGGTTTCCTATCTATTATCCTTTAATCTTTTCTGTCATACAGCAGCATGTTGATAAAGCAGGGATATTGTTCCATCATTACCACAGCTGCTGTTCATTTGGCCTTTTCTGTCCTGGGTCCATTCCTCTGTAAATTAAATATCTATAAATGTGAAAATGTGTACCTGAAAGTGTTTTCATCCCTGCAGTGTGTACCTGATCAGCCGGAGCAGCAGGAGGACCTTCAGTATGCCAGCGTTCACTTCTCCAACAACCGGGCAGATCCTCTTTACTCCAACATGAGAGCAGCTCAGCCCCTCAGACACACGGAGCAACAGGAAGTCCCGGAGTACGCTGCCGTCAAGTTCAGCAGTGCTGCCCCGAGGTGAGCAGATCCTCACAGGAACATTGTTCACATATCATTTAATTCCTTTTGCTTTATTATTACCACTAAGAAATACATCATTTATCTCTCAGGACCAGAGGTCAGGACTCTGAAGAGAATCCAGCTGCATTGTACAGCACGGTCAACAAATCCAGATAAACACAGCAGGCGTTGCTTTTGAAGGATGATACTTCTGTTTTTATACAATCACATTCTATTTATAAACAAATGTATAAACAAAAAATGTCTCTTTCATACACTCCGCCCCCTGGTATACCCCCGAACTCCGCCAAATGAAATCAAGGAAACGTCAACTTGAACGCCAACACAAGAAAACCACACTAACAGTCCATCTTCAAATCTACAAAGACTATCTCCAGCAGTACAGTAACGCACTCAAAGCAGCCCGGTCTAATTACTACTCGCAACTCATTCAGTCTGGCTCCAGCAACCCCAAGCGTCTGTTCTCCACCATCAGCAAACTTCTCAAACCCTGTGACAACGCCACCTCGTCCTTCACCACCGAACAGTGCAACTCCTTCCTCTCGTTTTTCCAAACCAAAATCAGCAACATTTACTAGGGGTGCACCGAATGGGAAATTCTTGGCCGAAACCGATACCGAAAATAGGAAACAGTTGGCCGAAAACCGAATGCCGAAAGGCCGAAAATGATTAATAGAAATATATATATATAATGTATACATTTTTTACCAATGTTGTTCAGCTACCTGATTATGGAAATAGACATGATTATGGCAAAACTTAACTTAAATAATAATCACTATTATGGGTCCATAAAACATTTATTCAGCACTTTTGAATGCATACAGTACATTTATATATGTCATGTATTATTGCTAAAAAACATGATATCGCAGTCTTAGTGTCGCCAACTCGTTTCTAATATGCAAAGACAACAAATGCGTCTATGATGTATTTTCGATCAGACGAGATCTCTCTCCCCCGTCTGTGTGCGAGGGGGCGGGGCAGTTTACACACACGCAGCTGCTACATGCAGCGGAGCACACTGCGGAGATGGCGGAGAGAACGCGCTTCGAGGTGTGGTCAGTGCTTGAATTGGAATGAAAAAGGTGCCAGTACTCTAAAATCAGCAACTTTTTCAAGTCAATTTTATATATACAGCCCACAAACAAGAATTTGGCTACTATAATGCTGGTGGGTTTGTCTCTTTACTACTGTATATTTTAGAAAGGTTCACTGTACTTAACATTTTTTATGATAGGCAGCGGATATGGCTAAAGCTCAGTAAGGTCAATATTAACTGAAAATATAGCAATCAAAGTCTAGATCTTCTGCTGAAGACACATGAAGCAGAGACCTTTCAGGTGAGAGCCCCTCTGGTGGTGTTCAACATTAATGACAAGGAAACAAAGCTCTGGTCAGAAGCATTTTTTATAAAAAGCTTTAACAAAATTAAGTATTTCTGTACATTTTGAATGCAATCTAACTTTCCAACTCAGAAAACGAAAAAGTGCCAAAAGTCTTCTCACATGGCTGAGCTGCTTTGCAATATACTTCACCACTGAAGAATACAAATATGTATAAAGTAAACTATGATGCAATCTAACTTTCCAACTCAGAAAAATGATAAAGAGCATGAACAAAGAACATGTAAAAACAAATGCAAAATTTGCACAATCTAAAATGAGAAACTGTAACTGCAAGTAACAAAGTCTGAGCCATGGTAAAGAGTTACATTGAACACCAAGCTGATCAGATAACTCCCTAGTTGGTCTGAAGTCCTTCTATCTCCAGGATCTGTACAAATCGGCACATTATGCCAAAAGTCTTCTCACTGGGTGAGCTGCTTTGCAATATACTTCACATTGTTAGAAAAGGCTCCAGAAGGCCTTGGGGACATCAGTATCAGGGGCTGGAGCTGGACAGGCTCTTTCATCAGCACTTCTCCTTCCCTTTGCCAGCCAGCACCTCACATACTGTTCCGGATTGAACTGTCCTAGTGATGGTCCATTACATTTAATGAAAACCAGGCTGGACAGTCGGCTGACAGAGAGAGCATTCCTTTTTGCAGTAAGGATATCGTTCATGCAGCTGAATGCCCGCTCACACTCACTAGTGGAGACAGCGATGGTTCGGACTGCTTTCAGTAGAGGCTCCATGGCAGCAGGTGTACGGGATGCCCTGGTTTCCTTGTATTCGCGAAAGCCCTGAACAGTCTCTCTTCTGTCCACTTTCAGCACTTCGCACAAACGTAGCACCTCTACGTCCCCATACTGTACGTCTAACTCCTCTTCAGGCCAACTTCCAGGATGGATAACTTTCATGTCCTGGATTAGCTGATTGTCCCGGGCCTCCCGGCCATGTAATGGGATTTCTCTTGTGCTGACATGAGAGGAGGTTGTGGAAGTCATTCTGTGTCTCAGATTCTCTACCATACTGCGGAAAAACTGACCTGCATGAATCTGTACAAGCCTGCCATTCTCACGCAGGGCAACACCCTTGAAGGACTTCTCAGCTAGAGCTGTATGAACTGTAGTCATGTGTGGGCCAGGCATGGTGACCATGGATTCAAAAACTCGTATTTCTCGAGTTAAGAGCCTATCTGCTGTAGGCAGTGTCATCTCTCTTTTTTGGAGTTGCCGAGAGAGGTCGCTGAGCTCTGTGAGCGCATCGTACATCAGTCCCAGATTGCTGACAAACGTTGCAGATGTGAGCACATCATCCAGGCCCTTGTACTTTGCTCTGTCTCTGGAATCCCTGCTCGTGTCGTTTGCAGCATTTGTGAAGTGATCATGAAGCACTCGGTAGTTTTCCCAGACTGCTCTGACGCTCCTTTCACTTGAAGCCACCCAGCGGATGGACAAAACACGCCCTATCACCAGGAGACGCTGTCCGACTGCTTGCGCACACTGCGCTAACTGCCTCTGATTTTTGGGGGAGGCATGGAACAAGGAATAGAGTTTGTCAAAAAAGATCTGGAAATGATTGAGCCCTGAGACCTCCTTGACCACATCCCCAACTGCCAGCTCTTGACGATGATTGGAGCAGTGCCACACAAACAGGCTTGGGAATTTACTACACAACTGGGTAGCAACGCCTGTTCTCTTCCCTAGCATGACTGAAGCCCCATCACATGCAAAAGAAACGAAACACTGACCTAAAAAGTCCTCGTTAAAATCTCTTCCAAGACACTCCATTAACGCCTTTGTGATGTCATCAGCCGTTGTTCCATCCAACTCGATCAGCTCCCAAAAAAACGTTTCGGGCTCAGCATCAGCTAATGCTGAGCGTAGACACACAACAAGCACCGTTTTACCACTAATAGTGGTAGATTCATCGACCAAAACACAGAGTTTTCTTTGGTTTTCTGTAATGTCTTTTGCCATTTTTTTCTTCAGCTCATGAGCTATGTGGTCGATGATTTCGCCACAGGTTTTATTGGAGTGCAAAACCCTGCCCACGTTCAGCCCATTCAGTTTCTGTACATTCAAATCAATTGGCATGTCTGTGAATGGCCGGCTATGTTTGCCAATTGTATATGCCGTTCGAAAAACTCTGATAGTGGTGTCTAATTCAGATTTATGCATAGACTGCACTTGATGTTGAATAGTTTCACGTGAAGCAGATGTAAGGATGTCAGCAGCTTTTACATGGGCTTGTGATTCTTTATGTTCTTTGATTTTTTTTCTCAGGCTAGCTTGTTGTTTGCCCTTGTCAACACCGAAATGAGACACTGCACACTCACCCCATTCAGTTGACAGTTTCAGTCCTTGTCCAGTGTGTATTCCCAAAGATTTGACATCTCTGCATATCCGACATCCTAGCTTCTTATCTTTAAGAAGGAGCCATGCATTGGTCTTGCAAAAATATTGCACCTGGTCCGTTGTCCAGCAGTCAGGTGCATCGCTTTGCCCGGTGTTGGTGGTGGCAGTTGCGCCAGCAGCAGCTAACTTTAGAGGCTCTGGAGGAGGCGGCGGAGCTAGTGCTAATGCTAATGCACTAGAACTTGGAGCAGGAGGATCAACCAAAGAAAGCTCCCCATCAGACACAATTTCCAACACAGGCACAGCATTCTCTGTATTTGAAGTTTCTTCCGGCGACAACCGCTGTCTTTTTGCACTTTTATTAATCCACGCTAACATTTTAGAAATGCTAATTTGTGACGTGACTTGCTTTCCTTCTCTCGGGGGCGTGCCTGCTCTGTTCTATCACTCTACATAGCCACCCACTGGGTGGGAGTTGCACTGCATAAACACAACACACGTGCATCTAGGTATGTAAATTGTAAAGCATTAAAACATGGTTTTACTACAGTTTTCAGTATGTTGTTACTTCGGCATTATTATTATTATTATTTTGAAACGTGTATTACTATTAAATCACGGTCAAATAGGTTAATTTTGACATAGTCGTTTCCACCACAGTATTTACATGGAGAAGATAAGCCCCGCCCCCTCTCCAGCACGTTCTGTTTGAATGACAGGAGTAAACAGCTGACAGCCGCT